CATCCTGTACCCATAAAAAACCCCAGGCTCCACTAGCAGAGTGGTGTCAGAGGGGCAGCAGAGTGGAACAGAAGAGGCTAGAAGAGAAGCAGTAGCTGTCAAAAAGAAGCAGTTTGACTTCAGAGGGACAGCTTGAAGGTGAGATTTCAGAAGGACAGCTTGACAGTAGGACCTCAGAGAAGAGTTCAGCAGGGGACAGCCAAACTCCAGGGGAAGACCACCTTTCCACTCAATCCCCTTTCCAGCACCCCATCCCACTGAAAGCCACTTCCACTCCTCAATAAAATCCTCCACATTCACCACCCTTCGATTAACTGATACGGCCTGATTCCTCCCAGATGCCGAACAAGAACTCTGGTACCAAGAGGGCTGGTGCAAAAGGCTGTCATCCTGACCCTCCACTGAGCTGTTAAACATTTAAGCTGTTTGTAGAGAGCAAAGGTAAAAGAGCACAATGTAACACATGTCTTCTGGGGCTTCAGGGGTCATGGATACCCCACTAGATGCTGTCATGGAGCCACATGAAGTTCTATTCCTGCCAGCGTGCCCAGAAGCACTTGTCCTGGCCCCTCTACCCGCTCACCTGCATGCTCCCCCCGTCCCATGAGAGGTTAAGAAGTTAATGAGCCAACCCCTTAGCCAGTCCTATGAAGGTGTCAGGGAAACTACCCATTTCAGTACTACTCCTGACACTGCATAATCAGTGTTGTGACTGTTTCTTTTTCTTTTTAAAAAAATTTTAATTTAATTTAATTTAATTTAATTTTTTGAGACGGAGTCTCTCTCTGTCACCCAGGCTGGAGTGCAGTGGTGTGATCTCAGCTCACTGCAAGCTCTGCCTCCAGGGTTCATGCCGTTCTCCTGCCTCAGCCTCCCAAGTAGCTGGGACTACAGGCGCCCACCACCACGCCCGGCTAATTTTTTATATTCTTAATAGAGACGGGGTTTCACCGTGTTAAGCCAGGATGGTCTCAATCTCCTCCCCTTGTGATCTGCCCGCCTCGGCCTCCCAAAGTGCTGGGATTACAGGCATGAGCCACCGCACCCAGCCTGTTGTGGCTGTTTCTAAGAGAAAGCATTCTCTTAAGTCTGTGTGGTATAACAGGTTTTTAAACTTTTAATTCTTTTTAACCAAATTAGAAGCCAGGGAAGGCTTAGCAGGAACGATATCTCCTTTCAAGGTGAACCAAGATTCTCTGAGTAAAATAACAGGACATCCAAAGTTCAGTTTTAGAAGTTCTACATTAGCTATTCATTAAAAATAAATAAAAAGTCTAATTTATCTCCAAAAAGGAAGATATTACAATTAAGAAATTTTTGAGGAACGGTGATTTTCTCACTTTTGAATATATGAATACTTCTTAGTTTTATTATATCAAGGAAATCCCTAACTTCAAGTCAAACCTAATTTTTTTAAAATTCCAAATTTGCTATGTCTATCTATATTCATAGACGAATTCAATACTTGAAATTAAAAGAGAAATGTAAGTGCTCTTTAAAAATTATAAATGGCCAGGAGAGCACACAAAGAATAAAGGGGAAAAAGATTCTGGAACCCTAGAAATATCATTTTAGTCTTTGAATCTCTGCAGACCCTTCATAAAAACAGAAAAGGCAAGGAGGATATCAAAACCAAAAACCTACAGACATTATCTACTATAAAACCAATATTTGGGAGGCTGAGGCATGAGAATCATTTGAACCTGGGAGGCGTACGTTGTGATGAGCTGAGATCATGCCACTGCACTCCAGCCTGGGCAACCGAGTGAAACGGTGTCTAAAAAAAATAATATTAGTGGGTAGGGATAAATTGGTAGCACATATAAAGACACACACAGTTTAAGAAACTGTAGGAAAAAAATGGGAGTAAACCAAGAAAGACAGAAAGCAACAAAATCATCATCAGATACTTTCTGGATACCTTAGCAGGCCATTCCATTCTGGGAATAGCAACAAAAACTAGCTGAAAAATGTCATGAGATAAATTTACCTTTATAAGAGAAGACAAAAAGTATATAAAACTAGATAAATCCTTTCCCAAGGGAGGATTTTTCCCTTTCCCAAGGGATAAATCCTTTGTAGATAGATAAATCCCTTTCCCAAGGGATAAATCCTTTGTAGGCTTTAATTCAAAGTTGAAAACAAAGAAGCCACATGAAGGTTCTCTGCTAGGGATATCTGGGGGTATGGGTCCAAAGCACATTCAAAACCAATAAACAGAAGCACCCTAGTATGTTAAAGCACCAACCTGAGAAGTCTAGATGGACCAAAAGAGGTGCACTAGGAACAAAGGAAAGACAAAGTACAGGCAAAGCACGGACACAGAGGTGTTATTTTGACTTATCCCTTCCTCCTAAAACTAGAGAAAGCTCTTTTACTTAAAAAGGAACAATAGGGCTAGGTGCAGCAGCCATGCCTGTATTTCTGCCCTTTGGGAGGCCAACGTGAGAGGATCACTTGAGGCCAGGAGTTTCAGACCAGCCTGGGCAAGATATGGAGACTCCTCTCTCTACAAAAAGGAAAAAAAAAAAAAAATTAGCTGGGCATTGCAGTGTGTGCCTGTGGTCCCAGCTACTCTGGAAGATGAGGTGGGAGGATCGCTTGAGCCCAGGAGGCCAAGGCCAAGGCTACAGTGAGCCATGATAGTAGCAGTGCACTGCACCCTGGGTGACAGAGCAAGACCCTGTCTCAAAAATATATATATTATTTGATATATTAATGACAGAAAGAAAGAAAAAGAAAAGACTAAAAAGCAAAATAATATCCCTACAGGAAACACATGCACATCAGAAACACCCAGTCATAAAGTAAATAAATACTGTAACCCAATATTTAATAAGCTAAAAGAAATTAAGAAAATGACAACTATAAAAGTCAGACTTGGAATAACTTAGAAACAAGGTGATGAGAAGAGAAAAAATTTAAAAAATATTTCAGAAATGAAGACTAAATTAGAAAAAAACACAAAAGGTCATGACTGAACAGAAATAAAAGATGGAAAGTAAGAAAACTAAGAAGAAATTAAGAGATTAGAAAAACTCAAGAGAAGGTAATAGCTGTAGATGGCCAAAGAACATGTAAGCTTCAGGCAACAGGAATCTCTGAAGAAAACTGAAGTAACCAAACAGAAAATACTGAAGAAATAATGTCATACAAAAATATTTGAAACTACACAGAAGAATCTACTATGTACCTAGCAATATCAGCCAAAATGACCATAATTAAGAAACCTGTAGTAAAACAAATGGACTTTAAAGGAAAAGAATTATTTGAGCATCCAGGCAAACAGACTAAATCACTTATAAGACAAAGAAAGTCAGATTTTCATCACACTTGACCAAAATACTTTATGACAAAAGAAAATAGATTGGCATATCGAAGATACTCAACAAAAAATTACTGAATCAAGATTGTTTTTAATCTAGCCAAAACCACCTTGAAGATTTTGAGCAAAAGAATAATTTTATTCACATGGAAGAACTTGGGAATACTGTGCCCATGAGCCCTCACTAGAACATCTATTGGAGGATTAGTTCCAGAAAACCGAAATGATTTTTAAGATATCAACATAAGGATTTGTAGTGACTATTACATATATATTTACTTATATGACTAAGAATAATGGTTTGAGGGAGAAAGTATAGTAGGTAATGACATGAATGTAAGAATATATACAGTAGAAAGTTCACTGTCATCTTTCAGCTATAAACTTTAAGTTAAAGCATACTAATTCAAATTAGATTCTTCAGAAAGGAGGAGGTAGAAGACACTGGTTAATTTGTTAATTTTAACAACTCATGTATCTATATAGCACTAAAGTATGAGAACTAACAGTCTGTACTATCTAATACTGTCACACCACTCTGTCAACTTATCATTGAAAGTTTAATTATAGTTCAAATTCATTGAAAACGTACTGCATGCCAGATGCTTCTCTAAGCACTTTAAATATATTCATTTTATTCAACTCACCCAGCAACTTTAGAACGTAGATGTTATTAACATTTTCAATGTACAGACAAGGAAATTAGGAAATAGAGCTGACATCCAAAATACAAGCAGTCTGATATCAGAGCCTGTTCTCTTTCCAACTGCACTATCATGATAAAATTACACAGCTAATGGGTGTGGTGGAGGCTGAGGCAGGAGAATCACTTGAACCCAGAAGATGGAGGTTGCAGTGAGCTGAGATCGCACCACTGCACTCCAGCCTCGTGACAGAGTGAGACTCCATCTCAAAAAAAAAAAAAAAAAAAAAAAATTACAAAGCTAAAATGAACTTTTACCCTCTGCTTTTGATGAGAATTATGTACGATGTTAAAAGGTCATCCCATGTTTAACATAAACTCTGATTAGAAGTTATATATTTTAATGAAAACAGGGTAATTAATTAAAATATACAAAAATAAGTTTGGCAACAAAATGCTTGAAAGTTGTCATAAAAATGATTAATGGCAGTGCTTGGTGGTAAAATTATAAAAAGTTCCTATAGGCACCCTCACACTTATTGCATCTTCTATTTTCCTAGCCCTAATATTAGATATGAGTTTAACTACAAAGTTGGTCACTTCACATTCACTCGCTTTTCCAAAATCATGATTATTTCACCTTTTGTCATCATGCCTCTTATTTTCCCCCTCCCTCTTCTTAATCTCTCTAATCTTCATAGAGTCTACAAACTTTACTAAGCATCTAGCATGTACTGGCCACCATGCCTCTTAAAACAAGTCTCAGCCTTATTCTGGGGAGTGCAGGCATCAGGCAGGGCTTCCTAAAGGACATCACACATGGAGACTGGAAGAAAATCCGCAAAAGGAATGAAAAGGTGACGGAGTGTGTTTCAGATCCTAACTGCTGGCAGACCAAAGGATCTCATCGAGGCAAAATAATAAGAACATTACGATTAAAGGATTTTCATGGTTTTTTCCAAGAAAGATATCTTTATGCTATAAAAGTTTTTGGCAATCAGAATTTATCAAAATCAGTCTTTGAATACTTACATTTAATTCACTTTTTAGCACTTCTTCAAGAAGATGACCTACATGTTTGTTATCTTCTTTTGAATCCATAACTACACAAATCTCTTGGGAAATTATCTCTGAAATGAAAAAAAAAGAGTTTTAAGTTTCAAACAAAACATGTAACAAGGCCCTAGGATGCTGAAACATAAACTTACCTGATGTTCTTAGCTGTTGACTAAGAATAGGGAGGTTTTGATTTCAGGCCAAGTGGAGTAATCTGTGTACACAATGAGATGGCCCTGATTCAGTTTATTACCCAAGTCCATAAATCTATCCATTAAACACTCTGTGGGTGAAGAACCAGCCATTGTGCAACTAACAGAAATAAGATATTTTAGGATGCATTCAGAAGGGAGTAACTAGAGGTGACAACCATTTGAAGTTCAGCAATTCAATCCTTCCATGTTTATAAGGAGTCTCCCAGAACCTAACAGATTTCTACTTCTCAAACAGATTCATCCTTTAGGCCATAGGTTATCTCCTGGGCACAGATTCATTGTGCCATCCAGTGCGCTGGTTAAGTACATCGTGTTCCTTGACATTCCTCTAGATTTTCAACTCAATACAATTAATTTCCTGTTTTGACTATTGGAAAAAGCAAATGAAAGAATTTTCTTCACATCTGAAAGACTTGAGATGGTCTGGTTTAACATTTATAAACTACGTGACACAGTGATAGTCATGTCACCTCTGAAAACCCTGCATGCATTCTTCCAAAAGATATGAAGTCCTCCTCTACAGCAGGCAAATCAGAAGGCACCCTAATTCAAGGTAACTTGACCTCTTGTTATTATGATACCAAGTTCAACCATGAGCTGAAGTCTGAGTAGAATTTTTCTTAATCCACATCTTTCTGTCTTATAATTAACACCAATTCTTCTAAGTCTCAGGCATCCTATAGAGAAATTGCCTATATAGCTGCCAGTTAAAAAGCCATTACACAGCATTATATCATGGATTAAGAAAACAAAGTCTAATTTTAAGAAAGCATTCCTGAATCAAAAGTATGTTTAGCTTTTGACCCAACTGCTTCCTACCTGAGCAACTCTAAAATACGATCCATATAAATCACGGATGTAGCAATAGCTAATAATTCTTTCAAGCAAAGCCAGGGAGAACAGGTTACTGAAAATAATATCACCAGTTAATAGCACTGCTATTACTATCTCCTACTTAGCAAGAATATTATGTATTCCAGGAGCTATATGCTATATATGAATACGAATCCTCATGATGACCATACAAGATCAGTATCATTCTGAATCTATGTAACAGATTCAGGAAGCTTGAATTCAGAGAAGTAACTTGGCCAAGGCCACAGGGACATGAGTAGTAGAAAAAAGATTCAAATCCAAAAATAAATAAATAAATCTGTATTTCTGAGTTACATGATGCTAATAAAATTCAACATAATTAAAAACACAAATGAATGTTTTAGACAATAAATGCTATAGAACATCATTGTGGAGAGAGAAACTGGAGACAAGATCAGATAACTCTAAAATACAATGAGCTAGGAGCTCACTCTTGAAAGGGGAATAGGTTTTGCTTAGGAGTGGGAGAAAGGAGCTTTACAAACAATCAGAAATGATAAGAAAGAAACAAGATTTTAATGTGTATTGAGGTAGGTAGTCACATAAACATAGTGTGACCAACAACCAAGAGAATTACTTGAAAGCTATATTAGTTTGTTTTCACACTCCTGATAAAGATATCTCAGAGACTGGGCAATTTACAAAAGAAAGAAGTTTATTGGACTTACAGTTGCATGTGGCTGGAGAGGCCTCACAATCATGGCAGAAGGCAAAAGGCACATCTCACATCACAGCAGACAAGAGAAGAGAGCTTGTGCAGGGAAACTCCCCTTTTTAAAACCATCAGATCTCATGAGACTTATTCACTGTCATGAGAACAGCATGGGAAAGACCTGCCCCTAATGATTCAATTACCTCCCACAACACATGAGAATTCAGATGAGATTTGGGTGGGGACACAGCCAAACCATATCAAAAGCCATAAAATGATTTAGTAGTGAGTTCTAAAGTGGGATAGTTAGTGAGATCAAATCAAAGGGGTCCTTTGCTGTCTTGGATACTAGAGTGTCCTAGGGCTTTCATTTAGAAGTTAACTCATAAAAACAGTGACTTTTGAAAACAAAGTTAACCCAAACTTATATATCATGAAATTACATGTTTAGAGAAATCTGGGCTTTGTAATGTCTTAGGCTAAAGCCCCAACAGTTCTATTTCTGAAAGCTCCTCATGAAAACATTAGGAAAACTAAAAAAAAAAAAAAAAAAAAAAAAAAAATGTACAAAAGTAATCTGCAAATGCAACAATTAATGTGATGGTGCCACAAACATTTACATAAATTTGTAAAATAATGTATAACATTTAGATAATTTAATACAAAACAGCATATGTAGGTTTTCCTTGCTTTGTTTCATCATATATCCTTCTTTATAAAATTCTAAGCTCTACCCAGCAAGTGTACAGTAATAAAACTGGTATATTACTACCAACTTACAAAAATGAAATATTTTTAAAAAATGAATTCAAAATCTATTTGCTGGCCAGGCACAGTGGCTCACATCTGTAATCCCAGCACTTTGGGAGGCCAAGGTGGCAGATCACTTGAGGTCAGGAGCTCAAGACCAACCTGGGCAACATGGTGAAACCCCATCTCTACTAAAAACAAAAATTAGCTGGGCATGGATGGTGCACTCCTGTAGTCCCAGCTACTCAGGAGGCTGAGGAAGGAGAATCGCTTGAACTCGGGAGGCGGAGGTTGCAGTGAGCCAAGATCATGCCACTACACTCCAGCCTGAGCAACAGAGCGAGACTCTGTTTCAAGGGAAAAAAAATCTATTTGGCATTTATCCTATGCCATGTTTCAGTTACCCTAAATAAAAAACATTTGTTGTTTAGCAATCTTTCATTGTCACATAAATTTTTACCATCATTTCCACAAAAACATCTGTTGAGTTTGGTATAGAAATGACATCTTTAAAATAACAAGCCTTCCAATTAACGTGATTTGTCCCCCATGTCCAGAAATCTTTAAGTTTCAATACTGCTTCATAGTTTCCAGTGCAGATCCCTTTCATCTTTTGTTAGATTTATTCTTGTTTGTTGATAACACTATAAATTGATTTTTAATTTCCTATTTGTTGTTATGTACAAAAATACATTTTGATACAGACCTTGTATAGTCAGTAACCTTGCTAAATTTACTTATAAACTGATGTTTTATAGATATTAAATTCTCGGTATATACAAACATCCTAATGAATGATAAAGTTTTATTTCTTTCCAATCTATAATTTTATCTCATAATGAAAATTTTTAAATATTGGCTCTATGCTCATGAAAAAAAATTAGCCTGAAATTCGACTTACTTACAAGGTCCTGTCATATTGTCATTAAACAATTATACTATCCTCACATAATGAGTTGTGTTTTTTTCTACTCTCTAGAAGTGTGCAAGATTGGTGTCATGTCTTCTTTTGAATGGTTTTGTAGAATTCACTGGTAAAAGTCAACTGCTTCTTTGTGGGAGAGCTTTTAATAAAAATTCAGTATCTTAAATGGATGAATGACTATTCACATTCTCTATTTTCTGTCTCAGGATAGTATGGTGTATTTCCCTAAGAATGTGTTCATTTCATCTAAATTCTCATTAACAGTAGTATAATGTTGTTCATAACGTCTTAATGTCTGTAGAGTTGTATTGATTCTTTCTCATTTCTGATACTGATTACTTGAGCTTTCAATATTTTTCATGATCACTCTTGCCAAGGTCTTAACAATTTTATTACTGTCATCCGAGGAAATCATGATTGATTCTGTCTTGTATGTTTGTTTTCTAGTTTATGGGTTCTTGTCATTTTCTTCAGTATTTTCTTCCTTCCACTATCTTTGAGTTTTGTTTGCTGCTTCTCTTTTTAAAAATGTTTAAGTTGCTGACTCTCTTCCTTTTTTCTACTACTTATATTTAAGGCTCTAAATTTTCCTCTAATAACAATTTTAGCTGTACCTCAAACATTGTGATATATTCACTCAATTTAAATGACTTCACATTTAGTTTAAAATATTTCATTGCTTTTCACATCTTTCATTTAGAATCACATTATTAGAAGCATCTAATTTCTATTATGGTTTCTTATTTCACCTATGGATTACGTAGAATTTTATTGTTTTTATTAGAATGGTATGTAACAAATTACTATAAATTTGGTGGTTTAAACACCATCTCATTAAGTAGTTCACAATTCTACAGGTCAAGAGATGGAGGAGGAGGAGGAGAAGAAAGGGTGATATGGAAAAGGTGAGAGGGGAGTACATGCACAGAAATGATAAAGTAAGTGAGGTAAAATGTAAACAACAAGGTAGGTAAAAGATAGGGAAGCTATTTGTGTTATTCCTGTATCTTTTAGGTTTGAAAGTTATTAAAATAAAAAAGCACCCTCTCCTGAAAACAAAAATTAAGAAAAAATATATGAAGCTATATTAATAGTAGGAGACTTTAAAGTTCACTTCTCTTAAGATAAGTGAGCAAAACATAAGGATGTAGATTCTAGGCAAAGTAACATCATAAGAAACATGGTGGATTTGTTATTGTATTGGTTTCTATATTGTCAGCTAATCTCAGCTATTTGCATTCCACAGGGTCTGCATCTGATAGGCCAATTTCTTACAGTGTCTATGGACCCAATCAATATGTCCTTTACTACTATTGATAAATTCTCACTCTGTCTACATTCAAAGATTAGACCATATACAAAATCATCATCAATTTCTAATGTGATGGTTATCAACTGGTTGCACATCAGAATCAACATAAATATCTTGTTTTCCTTTCATATTTTCAAATACATATGCCTAGTGCACAAACAAGATACTAGCCTATATTTTTGTCCAAAAGTGATTCTGATGTACAGCCAGATTAAAAACCTCTGCTTAGCTATTGCACTGACTTTTTATGATGTGGGAATTATTAAAGGGTTTATCATATAGAACCTTTATAAATATGGTTTCATATATGATACCACATTTATATTTTATATTATGTATAGACA